TGCTGTAAAACATATACATCCTAAATGCTTTGATTTTGTTATAGAGAATGCCTGTTTCCTCAATCAAGTTAAGATAGTGTAGTATCTTAAAATATCTAGTCTCGATTGTGACATCATTTTGATAAATTCTGCTTATTTTCTTATTTCCCCCTTAACTTTACTCACAATTTCCATGTTCTCAATGGATTTAGAGCCCAAAACCTTTCTTCAAAATTTCAAAAATTAGTGATACTTGGTTTGATATTAAAAAATAAGCGATATCTTTCAACTATAATTTCTCTTATCACTGAAAAAAATCTACACTGCCCTGCTTAGGTTGATGGGTTTGACATCGTGAACAGAAAAGACTGCAAGAAAATGGGTGAATCTGGGTGGCATGTGAGTTGCTGATAAACTGAAAACTGCCACAGAAAGATAATGGAAATGCCTTACTTACATGACAATTAAATAGTCTGGCTCTCACATATATATTTTATTCCTGATGGGCATTGGGTTGGCCTTCTGTTAATCTTATGGGAAAATACTGTTGTAAATATGATTTTAAGAGTATCTACAGCTGACTGAGGTCTCTGTGATTCAAACATATGTTATGATTGGTTGTATCTCAAAAAAAGCTCTCTTCAAATTTTCCCTGTATGCAGTGTATGTAAAATACTCGCCAACGGCAGGTGTAGGGAGATGCATTCTTTGTGTCAGAATAATTTAGAAATAAAATATGGGCTTTGGGTTAAGGAGATGTGGGAGCTAGCTAGTTGCAGCATCTTTTCTGATAACTGGGAATTTTATATTTCAGTTCAGCCTTATGCAATGTGAGGAAGTAGAATCAGCATTATGAATTACATGAGCATGATGTAGAAAATTTACTGAAAGGTTTGAAAAGCAATGAATTTGTGTTGAGATAAAAGAAGGAGAAAGATATTGACTTTCATGGGATACCTATTAGTTATTACACAAGAGGGCTGTGTGATTCACATTTTTTTTTCTCATAAAATGTCACATCCAGCTAATGAGGAAACATTATTTCATAACATTATATTAAAAAAATCATAAAATAGGGCCCTCCCTGGTGGTGCAATGGGTTAGGATGCAGCACTACAAGCTAGTGCAACCCCTTCAGTACAAGTTCAATCCCAGGCCCCAGAGGTGACCCATATGGTGCAGCAAACTCTCCTGACCCACCCACTGCTCCCCTCAGCAGTGTACTTCATTGATCTGTCTGCTCTGCTTCCCACTCTGTCTCTGGTGAATCCTCTCACCACCCTTGCACCTGGGGCTTGAACCCCAGTTCTGTATGCATAAATAAATATTTTTTTAAAAATGTCTGATGATTGTGATATGTATCTGGATGAGGCAGACAATCTCAAAGTTGATTTAGAATGTCAAACGTTACAACTGAAACATTAGAATATTTGGTTTTGTTGTTATACTTACCATGTTTCTCAGTATGCTGTGTAGTCAAGTGGGACTCTCAGTCTGGGAAAAAGAATACACATGAGTAACCTAGATTGCAAAGATTTCTAGTCTAATAATTACTATTTCACTTAAATCACCATTATTTTCTTTTTCCCAACTGAGTTTTATAATATCCATTATAAAATAAGAGATAGTCCTATGAATGTGACAGTATATATATAGACCATGAACAAACTGATCTTAGGATAAACAGGGAAGTTAGAAAAGGATACCAATTCAATAAAGAGAATGAAATATACCATATAAATATCCCTGTACACATACATAAATGTAGCTAACTCCATGTTTAACTACAACCTGCACGTTGACCGTTGCAGATTGGGAATGATGTTTCACAGGGTAGCCACATGAAAATATACTTTCAGTGTATATATCTGAGCCATGCAAATGCACTTTAAAAGACCACTTTATTATAGATTCTAGCTAATGGTCCTTTAATATTTCATCATTTTTATTTGTTTCTTTTTTTCCCTCACCCTACATTTTATTGTAAATGATAAAAAGCCACAGTGAATTAATGAGAACATGCTTGCTATTTTTTTTTTTTTCATTTGGTTCACATTTAGTTGGAGTAAAAACATTTCTGTTGAAAAGAATCAGTACCACTTCTTCAATTAGGTCAGGGCTTCCTGCCATTTAAAATTGACAGAAAAAGCAAAATGTACCAGATTGCAACACTGGAACTAGAGCTATGAGACTTCCCCGGAATCTTTGGTCCTAGGTTTGACCTCAAATACCTTCTGCCCAGAACTAGTGATTGTTGAAGGGCCTTTGTGACAAGCTTCATAAGACAGAAGAAAATAGCAGAAATCCCTAGAATATGAAAGTAATCTTGCCACTCACCATGTTACAGTTGGACACAGTAGTTCATCAAAAGAAAAAAAAAAAGATATATTGTGAATATATCTTAAAAGATGCTCAGAGACAGTTTTCATGAGACTTATATGAAGATAGGGTCAAATACAGATATAAGATGAATAAATACAGATATAAGATGAGCTCACAATACTGTAAAGGAAATAAAGCAAAAGAAGTGTGGTTAAGAGAATAAGCATTGAAGTCAGAAGATTTTGATTAGTATTCTAGCATGAATTCTCTAACTGTGTGACCTTGGGCAAGTCACTTGCTCTCTCTAATCCATGGTTAATGGAATGAGCTGTAAAATAGGTATATTAAAATCAGCCCTCACAAGTTTTAAAAATTACATTGAATTATTTATTTAAATCAGCTAGCATATTATTTGACACCAAGGAAACACTTTGAGACTCTTAAACATCCTAGTTATTATTAAATATCTAAAATATTTGTTATAGAAAGACTATGTCAATTAAATTATTTTTGTCATTAATTACTTATATTTTTCATTTTATGTGTACACATAAATGATACCATAGGCAAGAAATAATAAATACACTCATTATTTAGAGTTGTAATTATTATTTTTGGAATACTAAAAATTTCAATAGTCTATCTACCCACAATTTAGTTATAAAATTTACCTATTAAAAACATAATGTCTCAACACAAATTATGATGCATCATGCAGTAAAAACTACCAAGTGAATATTATTAGCATTTTAAATAGAGAAATGCAATTCTGACATTTCCATATGCACACTGAATTTTAAGGTAAACCTTAAAAATATTTGTAAATGTTTGTTTTAAGTGCTGTTGGATAGTCACCTAATACTCTTAGTCTAAAGTAATATGTGATAAGCATTGCTTTCAGACATTATTGTTCAAATGATGGAAGTTGGAGTAACTTTCCTTGGGAAAAAAAAATCAGTAGAGTGATTGGGTTGTATGTCAGTATAAAAAGGTATAGAGTATAGTAAAAGGAGCTTTTGTTCTATAGAAGAAAAGATTAAGAAATTGCATTTTGGGGACTATTAGTCTTTGTTGAAACAAAACAAAGCTATGGAATTGCATTATACTGAGAAGATAAGAAAATACTAACAAATGATTTCAAAACCTTACAAAATTCAGTTTTATACTCAGAACTGTTCCACAAATAAATACACTAATGGGTACGTGAGTAAAATGATTGGATAATGTCATATGATGAAACTCTGTTCTTCTTTTACTGGTTATCTTTAAGAACATATTAAGATTGGTTGTTTCTGAAGAGAGAAGGCTACTACTCTCTAGTAAAAGGGTGCCACTAGATAATTCTCAAATCTTTCTTCCTTGAAGATTTATTTCTAAAATTATTGCCCAGTAACACTTGCCCTCAAAACCCAGAAGAACACATAACCAAGCTCAACTGTACATGTGGTCTTCAATTTTAGATTCCTTATAACTGCAACCACCTGTCTTAAGTTTTCATCATGTAAGCTGCTTGCATCACATCACATGGTCAAGCAACACCTGTAGAACCAAAACTCCATGAGTGGTATAGACTGGCCATTTAGATTTTTTTTTTCACTTGACTGGGCTCTGCCCTCACCCAAAACATCTGTCCTGTTGCACCTTATCTTGAGTGAAAGGGTTAAGCACCACCAAAGTTATGGTGTCATTCATCATAGGCATCACACATCTTCCCAGCACTGCCAGCCTAATGTGGTTAAGAGTGCTGAAGGGACAGCTCCCCTGCTCTGGGTCACTTTAAGGTACTTTTCCCAGGAAGACAGCATTCACTTCCTTTCTGCTACACACACCCATTCACAAAACCCGGGAACTACAGTCATCCCTGATGCCTTTAAATTTTAGTTAGACTGATGCTGAGACACACCCTCATTCCCTAAGTGTATAATTATACGTGGGTGGAGAGCCACCAGGGAGGGTAAGAGTAAAGGGCAGAGAAAAAAAGAAGATAGCTATGTCCCGACTTCTAAAAACCTTGTTGTTAATCTCTCCTCCCCCACTCCCATTTTCCTAATCCCGAGAACGACTGAGTTCGAGGCAATGGGATGGCTCCGGAAATGGATATATGACTTTCAAACCTAAAAATGACCGGAGCGATTTATTTAAAGTTGAAGTCTCCTTGTCCTAAGAACCCAGCATAATTCATATTTTAAAAACCCCGTGTTTGTTCCTCCATATCATAAAAACCGAAAACAGTTGCCACATAAAACAGAAACCATTCTGAGCGCGGTCTCGCTGCCCTTTAAGCTCAGACAGAAGGTGGGGTGGAAGCGCTCACAACCTGTGAAAGTGCGAAGGACTCTCTACACTTGGTGGCCAAATCGCTGCTGTCCAGGACTCTTCCGTACCATCTCTCATCATTCGTGACTCTGCAAGACACAGAGATTTAGACATGTATGTGGGAGTGCGTGCGAGGGAGGGAGGCGAGAGGACGGTGTGTTCCCCACATGTGTAACTCTGCATCTCCGTTTCCTAGCTTGCATTTATTCACAAGAATTCATTAGTTAAATACTTGATGAAAGGTGGAATATTTGTAATGATCAGCTTTGTTTTTAATGGACACACCTTAATATAGTGTTTATAAATTAAAAGTGTGAAGATTCTGAGTGTAGTACCTTTCTACTTCCCTCCCCCAAATCTACTCCCCCCCTCTCCCCCCCTTCAAAAGGGAATGCTTGCAGCAGATTGTTGAAGGATTTGAGTCTGCAGCTGGAGAGAAGGGATTAGGGCCAGAGCGGTGCAAGTTAAATTGTGCTGCATATAAAAAATGGGCGGATTGGTCTCCAGATCCAGAGGCTGGTACCACCTTCCTTTCTAAAATAAAATCTCTCTGGCATGAAGTCACCGCCTATTTCACATCCGGTTTGCCCTGGGACGTATTACTACTGTCTTGGTAAAGAGAAATCTTTTGTTGTATAGCTGCAGAAGGGATATTGAGAAGCAAATTTGGGTGTGAAATCCTCAGCAAAGGCGCACGCAGGGTCCATGATGGCTCAGACCGAGTGAGTGAGAGGCAGAGCGAGGACGCCCCTCAGCTCCTGGCGCGCCCGACGCGCGGACTCGCGCTGGCTCCAGGCTCTCCACGATTTTCTCTCGCAGACTTTTCCCGGGTCTTGAGCGATCCTGTGCCCAGAGGGGGCCCGAGGTAAGTGCGGCTTCGGACCGCAACACAGTGAGCTTTGAACGTGGCTTTTCCTAGCTGGAGAGACGGGAATGATCTAGTGGGGGAAAAAAGAGGGAGAAGACGAGAGCCTGATCCCAGAGCAGGTAGAAACAACGAATGTTTTTCTTTCAGGGTGGAAACCGCAGCGATACAGGAACATTATTTTCTCCCCCTGCCTCTCATCTTTTCTTGCCCCCATTCTTAAGTAGATTTGAATTTTTTTCCGCGGGTGGGTGGCGACACGCTGTTTTTGGTCTTCTTCTTCTTCCTTTTTTTTTTTTTTTTCTAGGAGGGAGCTGGGATGAGGTGGGGAGGGGCGTCGGGGGGCATCGTGGAAAGTTCAGACGCTGGGACAGGAAACCTGTCTCAGCATTCCAGCCTAGGGAAGGCAGTCTCATTCTGGCTGCACAGATTCTTCTTTTCTCCTTTACAGTGGACGCTGCTGAAATGCCCTCTGGTGTAGGGGTCTCTCCCATTCCGATCACGAAAAACTCAACTTACATTTGATGTGGGTGGCCCGGGATGTGGGTGCTTGGAGTGTGTGTGTTTGGGGGGAGATGGAAGGTGGAAGGGGTAAGGCTGCTTAGCATTTCTTTTAGACTATTATGTTTGTATTTGCAAGAAACTTTCTCACTCAACAACTCAAGTGCCACGATAAGCTTGTTTTTCTCTTTTTCAAATGTCAGAGGAGGACAAAAAACAAAAAACAAAAAACCTGATACTTTGCTTTGGGGTTATGGTTTGTTTCATTTGTCCCTTCAGGAATTACCCACCCTCCTCCCTTCAACAAAGACCAACAAAAATTAGTAGGGAAAAAGGAATTGTTTTCCTTCATAATAGACGTTGAAGATTCATAAAAGGGTAAATAACAATAGTGCGATTTGGATGCAATATTTTAACATAATGGTAGCTATCAAAATTTCTTGTCATATTTAACTCATGTGTGTCAAAATCCATCACTACATTAAGTAAAAGCCATAATGAGGTTCACAGTTCTTATCTCTAGATCTAGATAATTTCTCTCTGAACACATTGTTTCATTGCTTACATGTCTGTTTATAATTTTTTACTGATATTCATGATCTTTGAGTGTATTTAATATCTTTGTAGATGTATTTAAAGGCATACCACATTAAATTATAGGGTCCTTGATGGCAAATATGCTTTAAAAGAGTAACAATCCATTAATCACTATCCTACTAGGGAGTTAGCTATTCAGGCAAGTGTTATCAAATACCTTGAGCAATTCATATCATGACTGGAATTAATTATAGCATATTAAAATAAAATCTTACTATATCTGTACCTTAATCAGGTAATTCACTGATTTTTAGAAATTGACTCCATAAGAGATAATAATTTTTTTAAAAATTCTCTAAGATTTTCATAATGCTCCATTCCAGCAACCCACTACCAAGTCTAAATTCAACAATCAGAGGGTGATTGATTGCACTTTACCTAAGAGGGAAAAAGATTCCCTTGTGCATGCAAAGCAAAGCACTCCAGCTTCCATCTGTTTGAGATGAAACATTTTCTCGCAGCAACCTGGCAGAATTCAAGAGGGCTTAAAAGATATGTGTGAGCATATTTTGTGCATTTATGTGAGTGTGGTTTGTGTGTGAGAGATGAGCACATGGCTTGACTATAAAGTGTGTCCTTTAGCCTCACAGGAACATCAGTGAGCATATTTAACAAAGCAATCACTTGCAGAGAATATAAGGATGACTTCGGCATTCAACAGTGTGACAGTGTGTTTCCTATTTTTTTTTTTTATAGATAAATACAGTTGCTGCTATAATCAAAGTACATCCAGTATGCACACATGAATTCAGTCATCAAAGTATAATAACTTACCCCTTCCCACTTTGCAAACATGCTCTTTGTCATAAACACAGCTTAAAAATTTCAGTGCACAATTCAGTTGTGAAAACTCAGATCAGAAAGGTCAAAATTTTCAGATGGTAAACAACCAAAGGGAGTATCCAAACTATGCTGGAAATAGAAAACCTAGAGGGGAAAAAACAAAACAACTCACAGTTTTATGTTGAGCAACACTGTCACCTGAAAGCATTTCAACTTGTATTCTTTTACAGGCGATACTGAGACACTGATATATTTCTGAATGGAGAAATCGAAGGGAAAGTAGAGAATGGATGGTCCAGGTTTCCATTGCTTCCAATGAGGTGTCATATCCCAGTGAGGTCATTTCCTGACTTCAAAGCTTCATCTGAACTGCCTCAGTCAGCCCTAGTGGTTATAACCTGATGTTTCTTGCAAGAGACATTGATCTCTACTTGTTCTACTTTTCAGCTGCACGAGCCCGCCATGAAGAGAAGTCCTGGTCTTTCTGATTATCTTTGGGCCTGGACCCTCCTTCTGAGCACACTGACTGGAAGAAGGTGGGGACAATTTATTTTAAATCTGCATGAGAATTTCTGTAACTTTTCATGTATTCTATCAGGGGGAAGAAAACTGTCCTTGGATGAATTCATGACTAAGGGAATTCAAAAAACTTAACTGCAATAAAATTCCAGCTAAGAATAAAGAAGAGAAATATGAAAAAAATAAATCATCTTATCTGTATGTTTGTTAGAATACACTTAACATGCCTTTGTTAATAACTGTATTGATTTAACATTTAAGTCTTAAATCAAACTTCTCACTGTTTAGTTGTAACTTAACCAAACTTTCATTTTCCTAATTCATAGCAAAAGTGACCCCAATTGATGTTTGCATCCTATGGCAGAGTCATTTGGAAGTGGAAAGTTTAAAATGATAATTTGAAATTTGAAAATCCAAGTCTCTACAAATGCATGTGCATTTTACATTTTGAAACCATTATTTATGTAACCAACAGAGGTAGACTATACCAGCCATATATTTAAAAAACATTAGATAAAATTTAACTTCATGTAAGCATTACTACGCTGGTATCAGTTCTAAGAAAAATTTAGTAATCCATCCATACTCAAAATGTTTACTAATGATAAGATCATGCCGACAAACATTTTATAGTGGTAATGATGTAAATGACCAAACAATTCAAAAATCTTTTTTTTTTTTTTTTACCTACTTTTACATTTCTTGTGTAGTACACTCCTGTGGCTGGCAAAAAAGTGTTAGCCATATTATAAAAACTTAAGTCATCAAGATGTAATGGAAAGTGAACCCTTACAAGATGAGAAAAATGGATGTCTGGAGAGATAAAAATTTAGGAGGATTTCTTAAATTGAAAAGTTACCTGTTATTATTTTTTTGGCTACTGCATGTGGTGAATAACCCTGCCAGATGAACAGGAAATGCATTATGGCCAGATACTCTTGATCTTAGGAGTTAAATATTCTTCCCTGCTTTTGAAAAATTATATGAAGTGTTACTATTGTAATGACCTGTAGATGGAGTTAGTGCACAGTGTATTATTATATAGTGGTTCATATGGAATCAAAATCAGGTACTGTAACTGACATTTCTTTTCAAATTATATATTCAGTTTAGGAAACATTACATTGGCATGAGTGCTTAATACTAACTAAATAATCTTTATCTTTAGGGTTCTTCTCTGACAATTTCTGTTGGACATAGTAAGTCAGAAGTAAAAATGAAGAACAGCTAGATTATAAAATCACCTCAAGGAAAGATTAGCCACTGCAATTGGAGGAAGAGAGTGGGTTTTCTGGGAGGGAGGGAGGGAAGAGTTCTTTTGACCTTTGTATTCCAATGTAAATAGTTAGAATGTCACACCTAAAAAGATAAAACCAGGAAAAAGCCATTTCCTTAATTTGGCATACTCTATGTGAAAACAAAGGGCCTGCAGGCAAAGGTAACAGACAGTTCCATATTCTAGGAATGATATTAGCAATTTAATTGTACTCTGTCATGTCAAAGGACCTCATCTGTGCTCCACTTCCTATCTCACTGACTTCTTCCTCAGACTACTTGATCAGGTTGTCCTCACATCTTAAGGTGTGCTAGCATTTCTTTTCCACTTCATCAAGATGACCTTCCAATATCCTTGAAAGATGCATGCACAGTACATGGTTTGTGGCAATCAGTTTTTATAAATAATTGCACTCAGAAGACTATATTTTGCTTTATTGGTGTCATCTGTTAATGAGACACGCTGGAAGACACAGCTCATTGAAAATTTGATTTCAAAAACCAGCAAGATGCTTAATTTTGCCAAAGGAGAGTAAACCTTAAGTCTGCACAATACTGATGTTGAAATTAGGAGAATGAAAAATTTTTTATAGAGGTATATTTCATATGCTTAATATCATGGAATTTTTTAGTTAACATAATTTTACTAAATTAAAATTTCATCCAAAAAAATGGCCACTGCATTTTGCTAGTACAAAACTACCTACAAAATTGTGGTTGAAGTACTTTGATTTTTTTTTTCTTACTACTCTCAAAACCTGGTTTCAAAAGTCACTTTTTCTTAGATTTAGTTATAATATAAACAAACATGCAAGTAAAATCAAAAGCATGTTCACTAGAATGTGAGAAAGTGATATTGTGTGGCAGTATCTTAGTTTACACACTTTATGAGTTCTTTTTCACTCAAAGTCAGAGATTTCATTGAAATCTATCAGTGAGTATTATCCATCCTTCGACAGAAACTCTCACAGGATTTTGAGCTGCCATACTAAATATTGCATACCATGTGAATCAAGAAGCATAGATAAAATGACATTGATGGGAGAAACCCATGACATACTGTGGTCGCTACATAATTGAAACCAAAGACTAGTCCTATTGAGGGATAAAACTACACCTCAACTAGAGAGATTTACATAGAAAGAATTACCCCAATATATAAAGATGGGAATAAAGTTTAGATTAAAAGTTGAAGGAAACTGGGGTCTAGTTCAGTCTTTGATCACAAAATAGCCATGTTCCTTAGACAGAACCCTAAATCTGCACTACAGTTTAATAAACTAGGAATTAAGAGTATTGAGCAATAGTTTTTTTAAGGTTATCTTTTACTTCTAATATCAGACATCAAAATTTCCATTAGAGGTTTTGAATAAGCAGGTAATAAAATCTGGTTCATAAATTCTAAATAAAATGGAAATTATACACCAATGTGCAAATGTAATAATCCCAAGAAACACTTTTTATCTATTTTTCTTATCTAAATATCTTGAGAGAGCATTAAACAACAAAATACATAAATATAAAGTCGATGAAGAACATCAGTAGGTAAATCCTTAGGTTTATGCTGCTAATATTAAGTTTAATGAAAACAAAACTATTAATGATTTTGGTAGTTCATAAACATATTTTTTTGAGGAGGAGAAGTTTTCCTGATTTCTTTTTTTTTTCTAGCATGCATTAACTTTTTGCTCGCTTTATGAAGACATGCAGTACTGCACTGCGTACATACTGAGAAGTGTAAAGACAAAATTCATTTCCTGTAATTTTCCTCCTATAGTTAGAAATGTTAAAGAGCTTATTGTCTATGAAAAAAAGTCTGACAAAATTGTAAAATTTAAAGCATTACATTTTTTACTTTACAGAAAGAATATTCAAATTAAGTTTCAACAGAAAGCAAAGTACAAAAATCTGGAACAGATTTTATTTTAAAATGTCTAAATGAATAACATAGATATTGCCCCCCTTTATGCCTTTTTCAGTTATGGACAACAGTCATTACAGGATGAGCTTAAAGACAATACCACTGTTTTCACCAGAATTTTGGACCGACTCCTTGACGGTTATGACAATCGCCTGAGACCAGGATTGGGAGGTGGGTTATATTATTGTATTTTTATTTTAGAAAACAGTATTAAAACTTTGTTACTCAAGTCTTGCTTTCCTTCAAAATGGTAAAGTAATAAGAATGGCATCATGTGGTTTAATGAACAATCTTATGTTTAGTAGAATGTGCAATGTAAATTAAATTCATCATTGTAGTTTCATGCACATATCCTTATTTAGTAAAAGGCAGATACAAACTTCTCTTAATACCATAAAAAAAAAGTTACATTTACTTGACGACTATAATACATTGTGTAATGATTTTCTTACAGTGGGGAAATGGGGGTAATATTTCCTGTAGCTGAAATCCATTATCTGTTTGATTTGGCTGTACTATGTCTGCACTGAATTCAAGTAGAATATCTTTGAATTTGATGGTATAAACATTTATTTTGGAATATTGCATACTGACCCACTATTTTGTGCTAGAGTGCCACCACCTCTAGAATGAATTAATTTTTTTACACATGTATTTAAACCCGGTTTTTTATACTAAAATTCTATTTTTCTTTGTATACTACTTAATTGGTTATGTTAATGAATTTCTACTTAGAAGATAGCACTTAATAATACAATGTTAGCACTTATTGAATAATCTGTGGGTAAGATAATCAAGCTAAGTTATTTAAACAAAAACTAATGAAACCTAAACAAATATTGATCTCAGAGAAAAACAAGTTTAAGAAGGAAATAAATTAATTCAAAGTCACATAGGAAACCAAGGTTAGAATTTCCCCTAACCTTGTTGGGTTAGACTCCCAACTATAACTTATGTTTTTTTTTTTTTTCTGGAAGCACTGTAGAAACTAACTGATTGCAATGTTTAAATTATAACTAAATGACAATATCAAGATAGTCCTTTCATCTAGACAGCAAAGAAGTACGAAAAATAAGAAGAATCATAATTCAAATATGCAAAGTGGATTTAGGGTTGCTTTGGGTAATATCAACTGGATGCCTCTTGTGTTTCCATTGAGGCTGCCAGGCTCCACTAGTGTCTCAGCTTTAAGGAAACTATTTTGTCAAAGATACAGCTCAAATACCTGTCAAAGGTTTTGTCAGGTAACTGGTCAATTTCAAACACTCATTCTAGGACATGTTATCTAAATTTCTTTAGATTTATATTTGGGTTTATATTCTACCTACCTTTTCTTTACTGACTTTTTAGACAAATTTTAAGGCATAATATTATTGCTCACAAAGTGTATTATAAAACTGTATTTGTGAAATATTAATATGATGGTTATGTATATTAAATCTATCAGTTTTAAGAAAATGTTTTTAATTAATAAAGTTTAAAATAAAGTACGAAGATACAAGTCGGGAAGGAATGAAGAAATAGAAATATTGAAATAGTGAAACAACTTTCAAAAAAAAATTCTGAAATATTGAAGGGAATGTCTCTTATTCTTTTATTATTGTCCTTTCTGCTCCCTGATATCAATCCCTACTATATCAGCTGGATTTTAATGACACATCCAGAAAACCTACTCTTCGTTCTAGTAGAGGGAATCCTTTTTACGATTATAACATGTTACTGTGAGTATCCTCAGTAAGTGCTGTGCATAGTTTTCAATTTGTTAGGGAATTTCACATATGCACAGGCACACACTTTCTTTAATGGCCAGCTGTGTGGCTGTATTACTACTTGGTTGTTTGGAGTACAATAGCACATTCATGAGTGCTCCTTTATACTTAATTGCATATAATGCATGTTCAATAAATGGGTATATTGATTTTTCAATACAGGATAAGCAGAATGCATTTTATCTACTCTTCATATACATTCGTAGGTTTTGGAGAGCAATAGACATTAAGGATATATAATGTAGACTAGGAATGGTTGAAAAGCTAATTGTCAAGATTAGATGTAATGGTAATTTGTTACCAGAAGTAGTGAATCGTGACAATTTTGGAAAACTCTACTTTTGTTATCTATTTTGTTCTCTCAAAATAACAAAATTAGACATGCATTTAAAGAACAAAAGTAGTAGCAGATCAAAATATTCAAGGCATTTCTTTTTAGTTGAAATAGATGTAATATGTTGTAGCAGTAGAGAACTAAAGCATTTGGGAAAATTAACAAAAGTGAGTATGCATTAATCTTTGTTGAAGATGATTTTCCTGATATTTCTAACTCCTGGAAATAATCATTTTGAGAACACAATAGATATTTTAAAAAGTTAGTTCAAATATTTTTCACTGTAACTATAGATATTAAACACAATAGATATTTTAAAAAGTTAGTTCAAATATTTTTCACTGTAACTATTTTATGCATTAATCTGAAATATACTGCAATTGATTCTGATTGACTAGAGGTTTATAAAAAAGTTTTAATAGTAAGCTTAATGTTTGTTAATTTTGGAGTGTGTCTTTTTTTCCCTAAAGGATATCGTGGCATGTTTACTACACATATCTTCAGAGTCATTTTTTAGTGTATTTTGAGAATGGTTGCCTTTGGAAAACTTTAAAACATCAAGTGCAGTTTTTAGATGTCTAAAAATATAACTAGTTGCAGAATTAGAGAAAACCATAAAACCATTAGTACTATGATCTCTGGATGTTATAAATTGAAATTTTTTAACACGTATTTTTCTGTAAGTTATTTCATTTCATTTTTTACCATAGAATTCCGGTAAGTGTGACACACATACAGAAGATTTCATTGTAGAAATAACCCTTTTTTTTTTTTTTTAAACATGACCTATTTGCCTTTAGAGGAAAAGACTATGTAGAGAAAATACTGGAGAGAATATCATTAGCTTATAATTGTGTAAAAGCATCCTCTAACTAGGTCCATGATCACAAGCATTACAAGAGAAAGGGGTCCACTCTCTTTATTGGACAAAGGTCTTATTTTATGAAAACAACATTGTGTAGAAAGGAGGAACATTTTGTTCTGAATATACAGGAAATATAGAAATGTGATAAGACTTGAGATTAATGTCCGTGCAAATTCATCATGACCTGTTTTTGAAAAATACACATGTATTAGAAAGGATAGCATCATTCTTTGGAGATATACATAGTGTTTCCATAAACTGATACATAGTGTATCCATAAACTGATATGAAAAATATATAATATGGTCATTCAGATTATAAAAATTTGTTTGCAGATATTTCCACACTATTTCAAAAGACTACCTGGCCAAGAGCAATATTGAGAAAGTGAAAAGAAAATGAAACCATAAAAGAGAGCTGAAAGGGACTTTATCCCTCCCAAAGCTAGAGGAGATAAAAGTACCAGAATGGATGGAATTCTAGTAATTTTATATGCTCTATTCAGAAACGTAAAAAGGAAAACTAGTTGGCCACATTCAGGTGCAAAATTAATGAAGAAACCTTTTAGTAGATTTGAGATGAAACAGCTTGTAGCCAGAAATTACAAATCAAAATTGTCAGTAATTGTTGAATTGATTCTAATTTAAAATCAATTTAAGGGCTGTTTTTTTTTTTTTTTTCTCCCTTGAAGCCAGGGGCGGCAGAATGTTGGCGTCAACATAGTGGCATAGGGACAAAAACAACCACTAAACATAGACATTTACACCATGGTATAAAGAATTAAATAGTTCAGGGGTGTACAATGATTTATGGGGAGGATAAGCCAGGAAGAATTGGAAGATAGAAGAAAATGGTAGAGGAGAGCAAAAGAGGGTATTAAAAGCTAGGAGAGACGAGAAGGAGATGGAGGAGGTGAACAACACCCAAGGAAATGGTACAGGGGAAGTTCTGTGTTATGGGACAGGTGGGTCAGGGGTCATTTATTTATCAGATTACTGTTTTATCTTAAATCATGACCAAATCAAAGACTTTCTAAACATGCTTACTTTTCAATATTTCTCCTTAATGACTGTGATTATAATAAACTGAAGAAACCTCAATTTCTCCAACTTTCTAAAACGATAAAGGATGTTCCTCCTGTCTGAGCTGCATCTATTTTGGTAAAATTTCAGCCATTAACATTGTAGCATAAGGGAAAAAATAATCACTAAACATAGATCTAGAATTTCATGCAGAAGGAAAATTTCAGGTTTCTAAGGATAAGGGATGCTCTTCTGGTATCACCTTTCGCTTTCCTTTTGCCCTACCATAACTATACCTACCCTTCAATGAAGACATAAATCTCATGGTGAGTAAGGCTGATGCCACATAGTTTAATGTCTGAGATGTGCTACCAGGCTGAGAGATGACCCTTCCTTCTGCTCATTGGCTCATTCTTACAGATGTAGCTTACACAAGATATTTCTTTCTATAACAACATCATTGCAGCCATTTTTAAATGGAACTCAAACAGGATAGTGCAGAAAGAATGAGACTATAATGGGTGCACATTTTAAAGGAATAAAAGAACTTTACATTCCCTCCCTCCCTGCTGAAGGTAGTTTCTAGCAATATAATCTCTAAATTCTGCCTTAAATTTAATCTCAAAAATAAAGTAAAGGATAATGAAGGTCTCTCAAAGATTTTATCATCAAACTATATAGACAATGAAGGCAGTGAGGTGAATATGTAGTAATCATGTGGCAAATCCACAGACAGGGAGAGAAGTAAATAAGTAAATAGCCAGAAAGAACTGGAATAATAAAATGATGAGAAGGAAAGCGAAACAGGGTATTAAAAATTAAGAGAGAAGAGAGAGAGTTGGAGGAGGTGAACAAGGTAGGTTGCAAGGAGGGTAGAAAATGAACTTTATTTATTCTTATTATACCCTTAACAGATACTTAGTTAAGCTTTTCTTCTTTTCCTGAAAGTGTTATCAGTTTGGGTTTGTCTTTGTTGTTCATTTTAGATTTTACTTAATTAGCTAGGTGAGCATTTGGACTGGAGTATAACCAGGGCTATTCCCAAGGCTTTTAGTATCAGCATTCTATTTATCAAGCAATCTATGCCTCAAAACAGACATTTGCCCTATTTTCATAACATTCCTAATTTTGGGCTTTTGACATCTGTATAACCTTTTTGAATTTTTGGATATCTCATCTTT